ACTGCATTGTACTTACACTTCAGAAGAAATCTGAAGCCAATTGGTCCGATCCTTATATTCCTAAGTTTAAGAATTAGAACAATATCATTATAATACAATTAGATTATAGGTATTGTAGCTTATTTCTAGGTCTAAATAAACACTCTTTTTAGCACCCTCTGTGGTTCGGCGTTCTCCCGAAAAGTATGTTTTTTCTTCAGCTTCGGTCCTGCATCAGGATTACTTCAAATATTGCCCTTATTGTCTAACATGGGATCTATTTAGTGGCCCGCCGTTATTACTACATATGATTTGCAAATCAGAATCTGCGAATAATACAACAGGTAGTAACACGTCGCGACAAGCTGTGAAGACGAATTGAATAAATATAAATCGATTATTATGTATAACTCATCACCATCTATGATAATGTATTTATATATATTTTATATTACATAACTTATAGCTCTGGTGTAGTAATAGATCTAATAATGAAGCTAATCTCAACATTATCATCGATTTGGTTCTCATTTTGGTTTGGACCATAATCTCTATCAAAATTTATTAGCATTTTAAGGCATCAAAATGACAAGAGTATCCTTAACTTTACTCCGAAAAGAAAGCAAACCCTAATAAACGAAACACTTTTCGAACATTGCATAATCGTTTCTTGTTGTAGATCAACATGGCAGATATTAAAGAATAGTAGGCAGTAAGAAAAAATTTAAAGAAAATTTATCAACACTTTTTTACCAGAGAAGTAATAAAAATAACAACTAACAAAGATGTTTTATTTTTATGAAAACGTTGGAAATACCGTTGACATGAGACTGTAAACCTCTTATTACCGCAATATACTTTTCTAGCTTTATTGTTGATGATATTTTCTAAAATAAACAATGCATATGAGAGATTTCTGTTATTAAACTTATTCACTATTTTTGTTTATCATCATCGTCGTCTGCGAAGTACTCATAACTCTATATTTCAAGAAAATAATACCTTTCCATATAATCTTGTCGTCTTTGTATATAATCTTGTCGTTGGAAAAATAGAACAAGAATGCAGTTTATTTTCGACGGCATTAATATATTTTTGTATTAATCAGTCCGTTCCGAATAAGCGGTCCCTAATGTAAACAAAAATTAAGATCCAAAAATAACACTTCCTCCCTTGCAGAAATAGAGTGGCACTATTTTAAAAGTGCATTTGGAGAAGTTTCTACAGTCGTTTCTTTTTTACGCATAGTTAATAATTTTGGTGATTCTAAAAAAGTATAGGCATTTGGAACTGGATTCCTGGTCACCCTTTTGATAGCTACGTGGACAAAAAACCCCTTTTTGCCTTCTCTTAATAATTCCATCGAATTACTCATTACAAACGTTGGGGAAAATCATTTAAAATTATTTCCTCATCGACATTCGTTCCATTCTTCTGCGTATAAAGACAAATTCCGCAATTCGTTCGCTTCCCGCTTGCAAAACGCATACATTGGTTACTTTCACGGCATCGTAATAATGCAAAGAGTTGAGGAGATTAGAACATAATGGTGCCGTAGTGGGCGCGTGGGAACTCTCCCAGCGCTCACGTGCCGTTACACTAAATCCAACATTAATATGCTTGATTTAGATAAAAGCCGACTCTAATGAAGACATCACTTCGCCGGAGAAAAATGTACCAATAGATCTTAGTGACGATAGAGGCGACAAAATAATGTACCGAGTTTCCGACGAGTCGATTAATTATAAAGAAAACAAAACGTTGCGGCGTTGTTGAAATAGATAAAAAAGCATCGACTTTTTCGGTTCCAACGATGGCCACGCTCGCCTGTAAATATTTATAAGGTGCTGTTGAATAATACAAGTGAATGAACCATACGACTCGTATGTTGAGACATTCAATTATACTCCCATTCATAAATCGGCAATGATTCTATGCGGGCGTAGGTGTTGTTCATAAGTCACCGGACAATAAATCAGGCGCCCATGCATTAAATGTTGAACAATTTAGTAACTTACGTTGACTATATTTATATAACTCATTAAGCTTATTTATTAATTAACATATTTCGGAAAACCTAAATACCGTATCCTGTCCATTTTAAAGACTGATGGTTGAGTAAAACTTACCTCTGCTAAGTACTTTCGATAACCCGTAATGACACGGGGTTTCCGGATGCTAATGTTGTTTTCATTTACGGCCGTCGGAACCTTTTTAATGTTAGGAACATCCTTAATTTAGAATTACGAGTATTGTTGATATGAGTGTATTGAATATTAATAAAAGTTATCATTATGTGTGGTATGTCGCGTAGGCTCGCGCGCGTTTTACGTGCGCCGGCGTAGCGAGCAGCTCTGCGGCGGGCGCTTCGGCCAATTGTTCACGAGGGCAAATAATAGACAGTGCAGTACTGCTACTATTGTATGAACGCTCGCATACTGTCAAAATAGTACTGTTTTCTCCACGTGTGAAACTATCATTAGTGGTTCCGGATATATCGGACGTGTCGGATGTCGGGTGAGTCAGCGCGCCCACGATTGCGCGCCCACGGCCCGCCGGCACCCACAGACCTCTGCGAATCCTCGCACCGAAAGCTTGAATTCACTTCACCTTACCGATGATCGCCCACTACATCATTATACTTGAACTTTGCGCTACAAACGATGATCTATGTAGTTTTATTTTAATTATTTAAACATTCATGTATGGTATCTACTTACTTTAGAAATTTAAAATGGTCAAATACTTAGATTAAAAACAAAGCTAAGGCAATTTTATTTTTTATGACATACAAAGGACGAGGTAGACAAGTCTAGTAACAACTGTTCCTGAAAGAACTTACGCTTAGACGAATGCGAAACTTCTTTTCTATAACATAAGTTTTAGTAGCAACCAGCAAGTACATGCCTTTTGCTGAAGAGTGCAGAAACTCGATCCGAATGCACCGAACCGGGAGGGAACAGAGACTTGTCGCCTGCAGAGGCACACATCGCCGTCTAAATTAGACTCAGACTTTGTTACCGTGACAGATTTAGCGACGGCGTCTGCGGCGCGTCTAGGCTATTTGTATTTGGGTTTTGGCATTGGGCATTTCGCAGTCTCGTGGGAACCAGGGTTGAACGACTCTGGAGACAATGCGGTCGCGTGGTGCCATCTCTCGGGGGCTACCCGTAAGCTCGCCCACGCCCTCGCTGCATCCACACTATCTCTTATGAGAAACAGCGCCGTTTATGTTTATTCCTAAGTTATACACTTTAAACCATTTTGTACCTTATTACGGATTAAAAATTTTGTTGGATTTTAAAAAAATATATTGAACTTGGGTAATAAAGATTAGAATCGCACAAATTTCATATCAATCTAAGTAAGTTTACATACATATTCGAGAAAATTGAAAAACCAATACTGAAAAAAAACACATGCGTGCTTGAGCTACTTTATTAATTTCACAATTACATCACAAAGGTGTAACAACAACGACACTAAGATTCACCGTCTAACGATAAAATTACTACATATTCCAGCGGTGAGACGCAGTCTGGTTTTAAAAGTTAATGTCAAAATTTAATTTCCCTTAGTAACTACTATTCTTTTACAGTTCTGTTAAATTTATTTTAGCCAACATTAATGTCCACGTTAGGCACAGAACAAATAAACGTTAAAATGCTAAAGTCTAGGCAAATATCCAAGGGCAGTTGCCGGCGGGGTCGATAGTTGGGCAGCGACTGGACGCGAGCCAGAGACCGCGACGCCGTTAATCCACCCTCGCAAAACTATATCACCGGTATTACTGGCATTACCTGACTGCCGAGCGATTACAATAGATTTAAACAACCAGACGGATTTAAACCGAGCCAAACGGCTAAACTACAGCGGTTTCCTTTCCTATCAGGTGCCGACTAACTATATATCTACACTACTAGCTGTCGCCCGCGACTCCGTTTCTGCGGTTTTTTAAAAAAAATAGTAGCCTGTGTATTCTTCCACACTATTTTCTACACCTGTGCCAAATTTAATCGAAATCCGATGAACCGTTCTGGAAATATCTTCTAACAAATATCCATCCATACAACCAAACATTTGCGTTTATAATATTAGTCATAATTATATTGTACCGCGCAACGGCTATGGGCAATTGCCGCTTAGCTAGTGGAAATTGAAACACATTTTTGTGATATTAAACTTTATAATAATTAATCATATTATTATGTATTACAATAAAAAAATTAATTCCATTAATGTGTTCTCAGTTGATCGATGGTTGTAAACAACAGTGCGTGATAAAGTGCCCCCCTATCGTATGATAATCGAAATCATCGCGACTTTCTAAAAGTCACGGTACGGAACAGTTTCCGTGCGATTGCAATGTTTCGTGCACATTTGAATTTCAAATTGACGAAAAGAAAATCGTCACCGTGTAAATGATCCATTGTTGATTGCATCTTTCCAATACATTACATGAGAAAGTCGCTTAATCTGTGTTTTACTTAGCTTTTTAACATTACTAATACTAAACGAAAGAACAAATAGAAATTTATGTTATGATATTTTACAAGCGTTGTCTATGTAAGAATTTCGGGTAATGTCATTATATAAACGTTATTGAACCAAATTTAATTGATATTGTTTGTACGAAATTGCTTCACAACCGTTTCCGAATAGTTTGGCCGATTTCACAAAGGACTTAATTGGAATCGTAGACAGAAAAGTCAGCGTGTATAATCGATATAACATTTGACCGTATCTATTGAAAACGATATAAATAGAAAAATAACTGAAATAATGGTTTCATAGTTTTAATTTTAGAATATCATTTGTTGGATATAAATCTCACTTATGACTAATCATTTGTCGATTCCTTATGTTTATGTCTTCCCTGTTTATCCGTAAGAAGTAACAAGAGTTAACTATATTCATCATTATCAGTCATCGGGACGAAACATAAATATTTATGTTTTTTATAAAGATCAATATATTGTTTACGATTCATTAAAACGAATGTTTTTCTTGTATTGTTCCAGATGAGTGGCAAGCGCACGCGCAGCTATAGATGTGCCGTGCATCACAGAGATCGCGAGGTCAGCTCCGAAAACGACTTCCGTCTGCTTCTTGAAGATCCTACATTTTTTGCCAAGTAGGTAGTACATAAAAGCATACATGTAATTTGTTAGATTTATGTATCTTTATAAAAATTGTGCTAGGCTTTTTACTATTTTTTTTTATTTAAACTAAAAAGTTCGACCCTAAAAAGGCTTGTTTGCTTTTTTGTACAAAAAAGTTTTTATACCGTATCGCTCAATATCCGGTAAGCCATGGCGTCTTACGTCATTTTCTAAATTACTCGTCATGTTAAATGCATATAAATTTTTCGTGTAACAAAATTTAAAATGTAATTACAAATAAATATTTAAAATTGTACAAAATCTAGAAGTGATTTAGTTCGTTATATCAATGTTTAAAATCGAATTTATGTCTTTCTTATACTTTTTATGTTCAGTTATCGTGTCACGATGACATGTGGTGTGGCTGTAACGATGAAATAGTTTAGAAATTACTTCAATAAGAGCCAAGTGTATCGTGAAAGTAAGTCGATTGAATGCGATTTGCAACGCACTCTTACGAAAATCTCATTGTTATAAATTCTCTCGTGTTGCGACTGTTTTTGCTATATCAGCCAATGTTCTAAACTACCATAGAACTGATCTACCTTTAAATGGATCATAATGTGCAAGGTTATTAAAAATATTTATGCAAAAGTTTATCAGTTCTATTTTGAACTTATGTAGCTTAAAAAAGTTGAATTGTTTTTAATATGAATGTTGTTCTCTTTTTGCATAGGATGGTGCACTTGGTGGCGATGGAGGTGTTGCCGGAGGAGAGGGACAGAAAGTACTATCAAGAGCGTTACACGTGTTGCCCGCCGCCGCTTTTTATCATCTGCGTCACTCTGCTAGAGGTAAACATTCTCCATTGATTATTGAATAAACCAATGCTTCTTTCTACCCGATGATGGTGGGATCGAAAGATTAAATCTTAATTAACTTTTACCTAGATTTAGGCTAGATGGTATTATTTTATTTCATTCCTGGATATAATTATTGTTTTTTTTTACCAATTAAAAGAAAACGATTGTTTTCATTTCAATCAAAAGATTGGACAAAAGTCCTTGTAGAGTATCGCAGCTGTCATTGAAATCGTTTCTCAAGACATAAAACAATGCCTTATTTCGTCGATTCTTGGGATAAAATTATCTGCGACAAAAACTGGTTAACAATATCTTTGTAGACGCAAGTAAATAATTAGCTACTTTCGTAATAAAACGAAACGTACCGAATACGGTACATTTATTTATGTCCAACAATCTTTATCATCGACAAATCGCTTTGTTGATCCGTCTCTCGTCATCTGAAACCAGTAGATACCTTCTACCTTTAGATGGCAACCGCCTTCATACTTGCGTCCATACCTTTATTTTGGATTGCATTTTGTAATTTTCTTATATCAATCCTGACATGAGAAATGTGTTCGACTCGCTGCCGTTTTTCTGCATTTCGGTACGCTTTGTCTCTGTACGTAATGCTACACGGCAAAGAACATCACTTTCTACTTGCACCTAACGCTGTCGATCCCCGCTCTAGTTGGCTCGGTTAATTAAAAAGTGTAATTGCGGATTTCACATCGCGCCAGCGACGCTTTACGTGAATCAACAATATACACGCGCATCAAGACTGTTAAAGTTGATTCATTTGGCCACAAGACGATTTGTGTATGGTGTGTAGTATTCAATGGTATTTCCTCTAGATAAATAATATATTCAAAACTATAGCAATAATTAATTAGTAAGACAACATTACGGTTTATCAAAAAAGGTTAATCAACTAAAAAAGTCAATATCAAATTTGATATAATCATAATTGACCTTTATTAGATGCCTTACTTAAATTGCTTGCAAATATCGGATGAAGATAAACACTTTCTAATTACGATTTTAATTGCAAATTTCAACGTTAATTTACTGCTAGTTATAAACGGTTGAGGAAAACGTCGCCGGAAAATGTGCATGACACAGATATAAGACATGTGAAACTGACAGGCTCCGTACATTTGCATCGGGACTACTAACATGCAATGAACTATGTTCTATTACTTAGAGAGCTTGCCGCTTAGTATTGTGAAGTATTTACATATTTCCCACTACTTAATGAGAGACCTATTCGCGCATTCTAAGTCGATTTTTAAATTGTTCGATTTGTTTGATTTTTTGAAAAATATCTAGATGTTATTGTTATGGATACATAGCCATTAAAATCCTATTTTAAGCAAATATGTACGTTGTTATTAGCTGGGCGTGTTCGCGTGGTACGCGTGGGGCGCGGGCGGTGTGGCAGCGGCGGCAGGTCCGGTGCCGGTGGACTCCCCTCTGGTGTACCGGCCCGATCGCCGCCGTGAACTTTGGCGATTCTTCACCTACAGTGTGGTTCACGCCGGCTGGCTGCACCTCGCCTTCAACCTCCTAGTACAACTAGCGGTGAGTACTCATTACAAAACGCCTGCTCTCTTATCAACTCCTGGTACTCACATATTTCTCGTTTAAAAAAATAGCATAGTAAATATAACTACTATGTATTTATGCTCTCCTAGTACTTCTGTGCCCTTGGCTATAAGTTCTTAAAAATAATTTATTACTTAACCTACTTTTCTTTTTAGTTTTTAGTTAAAAAAAATGAGATACAAGAAATTAAATTTGGAAGAACCCACTATTTGTAGTGGTCAGCCACTGATATAGCTCAGTTGTATTTGAACCTTTGATTCGCGGAATTGTGCGTGTATGTAACCGCTACACTATGATGTGGTTCATTGCTAATGCAGACACTGCGAAAGGAAATATTTATATCGCTCTTGCTCAGTACATGTGACTAATAGTCTCCTCATTCCTTTACCGTCCAATGCATATCCTTAAAATTTATCTACACTTGTAAGTAACCACGTTCTTTTGGCTACAAGGTCAAATTCTAGATTTTAATTTATTATTATTAAAAACCATTACACCCATATTGCTCTTACTTCCCCGAACGTTTTGAAACTAACACTTTCGTATTAACTGGTCAAGTAGTCATTAACTACATACGTAAATTTAATGATTCCTTCACTAATTAATCGAAACTAATACCTGAGTAAAGTTCAAAGTACGACAAATGATTAACAAAGTGGGATACAAGTGGTCGTTAATCACTCGCCGGTCGCGGCTACTGACGTTTGTTGACTTCTCTTTACTGTTGCGGTTTGTCATTGCCTTGTGTTTACGTATAATCGGCATAAATAACAAGGCTGTTATAACAGTTTTCATTTGCGTACCAAAGAAAAATAAATGTTTTTGAGAGAAATAAGAGCTGGTCAAAATAATAAGTTATTATGTATGTGCCATGAGAAATTTCAGATAATTTTATTCACTCTTAATGTATTAAAGTAGTTTAGTATATTTCTTTTGAGCTCATAATTAATAAGATAAAATCCGATGTTTTTTTTTTGTTCTTAAACTCTCGGAATATGGCGTTATCATAGTAGCATTAGTGTTTAATTTAAAAACCTTGTGATCACATATTTACAATTGAGAAATGTCTACAACAGCTTATTGTTACGAGATGTAATTACTGAATGTACACTGCGTCCGTTATTTCCATATTTGATGAGCCTGTGATATAAAAACCGGCATAAACTTTAATGATTTAAAAAAGTATCTGCAAGACAACAGTTATAACAACATTATTGACGTCATAATTATCCATTACGTATTTAATTTTAAAATATATTTATTTCTGACATTTTCGGAGATTAAACGAATGATGGTGGTTATTGTGGGATCTATTTTAAGTACACGTTATTTTTGTTTGTCTTAAACCGAACCTTTAACCCTAAAAAGTGAGATCGTATTACTTTAATGGAGTGTATGGTGAAAGGTTGTGTTGTGTGGTCTGAGCTTACTTGATGGCAGATAGTGAGGTCATCCATGTCGTCAGGTCGTCACGGCAGACCAATAAGGCTAGATCTTTACACGCCAAAAAGTGGCAAATTAAATTTAATTATTGTCATCATAAAAGAAACAAAACATTAGTCTTAATTAGTTCAATTGCAATTTTTTTTTAAATATTCAATGACTGTTCAAATCATTAATATTTCTAGAAATCTCATGCATGAAAAAACTACATTGCTGCCGATATATCATGCAAGTCTGTTTGTTATGCATTGCGCTGTACAGTTAGTGATCGATAACCTTGTATGGTATATATTTTTTACGGCGATAAATCACGATCGACGTAGCAGTAAAATATACGCGGACACACGCTGTATCGCTAGACCGGAACGCGGATACCGAACCTAGCGGATTACAAACGGATCACTCGCGGATCTATATCAACGTAAAGTGGAAACTGAGAGTAAAAATTAAATACACTAGTCATAGTACAACTGCGAAATGAAATCGAAATTTCCTACGTTATATTGTGTGCGACACTGAACTGTATGTTACAGTTAAAGTGTTCACGTATTGCACCGCTGCACTCGTAGCGCTGTGTGCACCCGACTGATAACACTTACCGTTTAGTGCAATGACGCTTTTGTTACAATTATTTTTGTAATTTTATTTGAACAGCGATTGCATTTGTACTTATGTGCTATATTGTTGTTGTGGCAGGTGGGTCTGCCCCTGGAGATGGTGCATGGGGGAGTGCGATGCGGGGCGGTATACCTAGCGGGCGTACTGGGCGGCTCGCTGGCAGCCTCCGTGCTGGACCCGGACGTATGCCTGGCGGGCGCGTCAGGTGGCGTGTACGCGCTGCTGGCGGCGCATCTCGCCAACGCCCTCCTCAACTTCCACACAATGCGATACGGCGCCGTGCGCCTCGTCGCCGCACTCGCCGTTGCCTCCTGCGACGTCGGTTTTGCCGTGCACGCCAGATACACTAAGGTGAGTTTGCTACAACAAATATGACTAACAAGCGAGATAGGACTAAGATTATCATCATAAAAATTCAATAAATGTCAAGATAATTAAATGAAAATTGTTCAAGAAGAATCTAATAAAACATTATTTATCCACACGAACATGAAAAT